GGGAAGTGTATGTGTTCTATAGCTAAAACCTCTCCAAAAAAAAAAAAAAAGACATTTCTGTTTCTTGAATATTTGAAAAATTTCTCATTTATGTATTTATCTAACCCTGTTCATGATCAATTCCACCTATTTTTCCCTTGTGCTTATCAATTATTATTAGCCTCATTTTTTTCCTGCCTTTTGGACAGATGCCCTTCTGATAGGTAGTGTTCTTCTGTTAGGTAGTGCCTGCTAGTGAAAACTCTCAGCCTTCCAATTTCCATATGATGTCAGTTAGCTTCAATAGAGACAATGCAGTGGAATGTCTCCCATGTGGCTTATTGTTAATAGATATCTGATTATACAAATAACAGAATGTCAGCAATCTAATATTTCAAAGGGTTGATCTAACTTTTTTTTTTTAATTTGTTGAGGGCACATGCTCTCTCCCGAAAGAGACAGAGAGACAAAAAAAGGAGGGGCAGAAAGCACCCTCCAGTGGAGTGTGCAGTTCCTTCTACACCCTCTGTAGTTCCTTCTCCATTTCTTCATCCTCTCAGGATTTTGGGTACACTAGTACATAAGCCCAATGTGTTTTTTGTTTTTTTTTTCAAGCTGCCAGGACTGGGATTCAGACTGTGGTTGGCCATGTAGGATCCAACTGCCTTAACCACCATGCCACGGAGCCACCCCTTACTGTTGGTTGTATAGCTGCCAGGTGTAGAATCTATAAAACTTACCACTGTTCAGCTCCTGTTTTGTTATGCAGGCTACCACTTCAGCTGCTTAGGCTTTTCCACTGAACTGGCTGACTCAAAACTTATTTTACTCTCACCTCTTCTCATTTGTTGAGGTGTTATGGTTTTAAATACTGTCCTTATGCTGCTGATCCCTAAATATGTATCTCCTGATTTGAAAGCTCTTCTCTTAACTCCAGACTCATATGTCCACTCCTGATTTTACATCTCTTTTTGGATGTCTGCAAGACATTTCAAACTTAACATGACCCAAACTAAACCATTAACCCTCCCAAATTTGCTCTTCACAGTTTTTGCTATCTCAATAGCCAGTTACCCAGGGCAAAAATGTAACACCCATGCTTAACTTCTCAATTTTGCTCAGTTCCTGTCCTGCCATCCATTCCATCTCTTACTTCAAAACATTTGGGATCTGGCTGCTTCTCAGTTCCGTTATCACTATCAGCCTGGTCTGAGCCACCTTCATCTCTCTCATGAACTACTGAAGTAGCCTCCTGCTTCTTCCTTTACTGCACAGTCTATTCTTCTCACTTCTGCCATAGTTGTCCTTTTTGATATGCCAGATCACATGACTGCTCTACTAAAAACCATCAGTAGCTTCTCATTTTCCTTAGAGTAAAAGCCAAAGCCTCATCATGGCGTAAGAAGTGACCTTCAATTACGCTTTTGCCTTCACGTCCACTTTCCTTCCCAGCTTACTCTGTTCCTCAAACACACCAAGTAGGCATCTAACTGGGGCTTTTGTACTTCCTGTTCCAGCTACCTGGTTTACCTTCCTTCTAAATAAGGCATAATTTGCTCCCTTTTTTTCCTTTAGATTCTGCTCAAATGTTACTTTATCAGAAGCCCTCCCTGAGTACTCTGGATAAAAAATTTCTTTTAGTTTTTTTTTTTTTTTTTTCTCTTCATAGCATAGTTACTGCCTATTTATTTAATGTCTTATTTTAGGCTCCTGGAACATGTATTCCATGAGAGGAGAGAATTTATTTTGTTTTCTACAGCATTCCCAGCTCTTAGCATAAGACTTGATATAGGCCCTTAGTAAATATGTATTGAATGAATGAATATATATGTTTTAATTTTGGTAGATAATGTTTTCTCTCACCAGGTACCAGGTCATCAGTACCCCATCTGATATTTTCATGGTGATGGAATATGTCTCAGGAGGAGAGCTATTTGATTATATCTGTAAAAATGGAAGGCTGGATATCCAAAAAAGAAAATCGACGTCTGTTCCAACAAATCCTTTCTGGTGTGGATTATTGTCACAGGCATATGGTGGTCAATAGAAATTTGAAACCTGAAAATGTCCTGCTTGATGCACACATGAATGCAAAGATAGCTGATTTTGGAATGGAAGGGTAAGCAGTTCTGATTTAATCCTGTATATATTTTGTAACTTCCCTTATCATTTACTGTCATCACAATGTCAGAAAGCAATTTTGAGACCTATTTAATAACCACGTCCTTGAGCCATACATTTGCTTAGCATGAATACTGAATACTGCCCCTACCTGTACTTTTAACACACTCAGGTTATGTAGTACACAAAGGCTTTCTTCTGAAGAAAAGGCGATTTTTCTTATTCCCAATCTAGTTATTTATTCATTTGTTCAATATAGCATATCTGTTTACTTTCATCAAAATCAAATTTATTTACCAACTTTAATTTTACTGTTTCTTAACCTGGTTCATTTCTATTGTAGTCTTTTATAGCCATTCTCCTTCCCTAGTCTCACTATGTTCCACAAAAATAAATAAATAAAATCGTTGGTCTGGAGAAATGGAAACAGGCATAAACTGAATTGTGTTATTTTCATATCTTTTCTCCTCCACTTTTCATTTCATAGTTATTGTCTTTTACATAGTAGGCATTTCTTCAGTTTTATCTGTTGAATATTAAAATTTCAATTGACTTTTTTTATCAATTGACATATTTTGTGTCAAAGATTTAAAATATGATCTTTCTAGGCTCTCTGCTCTCCATTTTTTTCTGTTCATTTTATTTGTACTTGAGTTTTGTTCATGGCTCTTCCTCAAGTATCTGGTGATTGATTCTTGGTTGTCTACTTAATAGTAAAGTGAGGTACTACAATGCCAAGCTTGTGTGGGTGGAACTTACTCATTGGTAGGTATTCTGGGGGGTTGAATAGGTAGGGATCTGGCCATTTTTATTAGGATACGCCAATATTTGTCATAATAACAACTATTTTTTCTGGGATCAGATATTTGCTCCAGAAGAAACCTTCCAGTTTCCTTGAAGGTTAGCTGCCAATGTCCTGAAGCTGAGTTGGGAAGAGGGCTACAAGTCTCACTAGTTAGTATGTTGACTTTCATTTACTCCCCATATTTCCCTTATGATATCTTATCCTGCCTCTCCGTCCTTGAGAACAGAGCTGGTTTAGCTCGTAACCATAGGTCCTAATCCTTAGTAGGGAGGTATGTAAAACCTTACTTCAACCACCTATTTTCAGCCTACTAATTGTTTTTGCCGTCAGAAGTTCCTGATACCTCCGATTTCTAAATCTTTCTTGGGTTCTCTGTACAGGTGAGCTTATTTCATACTGTAGGTTTTTACCTGTGTAGACTTAAGTTTCACCTTTCTCTTGCTGGCAAAGTGTTTCTCTCTGTTTATCCATTGTCCAGCTTGATGATGCCTCTTGTTCCTGCTCTCTTCACTTGTCCTGTATCTTTACATGCCTCTTTTATTGCTGATGTCATTTTAGTTACATTTCAAGGATTACAGACAAAAGATTCAGCCTGTTATATTTAACTGGAAATATACTTTGACTTTTCTAATCTTCTTTTATGAATATCCTATCCTTCATGCTTTGTACTGTATTTGCTATGGATTATAATTTTCATTCTTATAGCCTATCTAATTATTTTACTTCTTATATTTTGTTTAATCAGTTATATTTTCTCTTACTCTTTCATATTTAGAACAGATATTCTTTTTTCCTCTGAGCCTACATTTCTTTGAGAAATAAAACTTTTAGTTTGCTAAAGAATTCTTGTTTTTTTAGAGGACGATAACTCATAGCACTTTACTAGTTTGCTAAAGAATTCATGTTTTTTTTAGAGGACGATAACTCATAGCACTTCAAAAATTTAAATTTTGTTTTAAAAAGAAATTACTAGTTTATCTTTTCTCCCAGAGTATTCATTGCCTTTTACAGTATGGAAGTCTGGTTTTAGAATGGTAATTCATGACCTGTATTAGAAAATTATATGTCAGAGTCCTTTGCCTGGGGGGGGATAAGAGGATTAACAGGAGATTTATTAAATATGAATTCTTGGGAGTAGACATATCCAAGTAATGGTTGTCACTTATTTTGACAAAAATTGTAAAATTTAAAACAAATGGATAAATTGAAAAAGTTTTCAAGAATATTTAAAAATGTAGTGGCAGCATATTTTTTTTTTTTTAGTAGGCAAATTTATTATTAAAGATAAATACTTGTTTTTTTTATAAAATGAGTTGAGAATTTTCTGGGACCAGCAGATGGCAAAATGGTTATAACACTGGGCTCCCATATGGCTGACAGTAATTCAAGTCCCAGACCCAGAGGCTTGAAACTCATGCTGGGCGTGTGTGCGTGCATGTCCAAAATCCCAAGAGGAGAATGGAGGAGAAGGGATTGTGGCATTTCCTTCCTTCCTGGTGGGGGGGAAAGCAAGTCGATTTGTCACTTGCTTTCTCTCTGGCAAGTGCATGTGCCCTCAAATATCTCTAAATAATAATAATAATGATAATAATAATAAGTTAAGGATTTTCTTTTGTTAAAATTAAAGTATTTGATATTTCAGGACATAAAATAGCATGTTTGCTTGCTAATTCACTAACAGTGCCTAAATGTTACTTCCTCATAGTCTAAAATGGTATCATCTAATCCAACATCACTATCTGTACTCTCTTCTGCTTTATTTTTCTTCAAAGAGTATCATTCTTTGGTGTTATATTTATTTGTTTATTGTCTATTTTTGGTAACTAAATTAGGGCTTTTATTTTATTCATTGCTATATCATGAATATTTAAAGCAGTTTATAGCACATTGAAGGCACTCAATTAATTATTTGTTAAAGGAATGATTAAATATTTCTCATTCATAGATGAAAACATGCCTAGTTTCAAGTAGAAATTGAAATAATCTGAGATAGCTATTGATAAGTAGAGGAAGACAAGCTATTACAGTTTACTCAGGATAATATACGTTGAGCATTCCTGATCTCAAAATCAGAAATCCATAGTGCTCCAAAATAAGAAACATTTTGGGTAGTCACATGAACCTGCAAATAGAAAATTCTACACCTGTAATGAGTCACAGTTCAAATACTGCCGTACAAAAATATTGTATGAAATTACCTTTAGGCTATGGGTATAAAATGTATATGAAACAAATTAATTTCTTATTTAAATACGAGTATTATTCTTAAGATCCTTTGTTATGTATATCCAAAGATTCCAAAATCTGAAAAAAATCTTAAAAATCAAACCACCTTTGGTCCCATGCATTTTTTAAAAAATGTGTAATTTGCATTTTATTTTTTCTCAGAGGACAGTTCTTCATTCCTTAAAAGACTTGGCTCCTTACCTGGGCTTTTGTGGAGGGTGAGGGGTAGCACCCGCAGATCTAAACGGGGGTGGGGTGGTCAGTCCTTCTGAGCTTCATGAGATTGGTTCCTGACTGCCTTGCTATGTATGGCACAACTCAAAAGTAATGTAGCTTCGCATACAGCTTGGGGAGCATGGAAACATCTAAGTTAAGACACTTGCTTTGGAAATGTCCCTGATGGCTTTGGCCTCTGTTGTTTTCCTGATGATGAACATCTTAATAGCCTTGTCTTTGGACACGCATGAGGCGCAGTTCATGTCGTGAGTAGGCTGCATGTGGCCATGGCCCTTTTTTGGCATGGCTGTTGTTCCTTCTTTTCTTCGTCATCTTGGAAGTGAGGCGGAGAGGTCCCATGCATTTTGAATGAGGGATACTAAACCTGTATGAGAACGCTGAGTTACCAATTTGGGTTCCAAGATCCCCTTAACATCTGTTTTGTCCTACATTTCTCTTCTTCATTTCATAAATATCTCACAGGTGAAGTTCATTTGGAAGGTTTCATGCAGTTTGACAGTTTTGTAGTTTGGAGAATTGTAGGGAGAATTTCTTTTGAAAGACGCCCCTTGGGGCTGGCAGATGGTGTAGTGGTTGGGGTGCTGGACTCCCACATGGCTGACTGTGGTTCGAGTCCTGGACCTGGCAGCATCTTTTCTCACTTTCCCTCTATCTTGTTGTGTCTCTCTCTGCTCAAATTAAAATAAATAAATAAATAAATAAATAAATAACAATGATAAATAAAATGAAATAAAACAAATCTTTAAAAAAAAAAGAGAGAAAGACACCCTTTTCAGATTCTTCTCTGCTTTTCTTAGCTGGATGAAAAAGAAAGTCGACGTCTGTTCCAACAAATCCTTTCTGGTGTGGATTATTGTCACAGGCATATGGTGGTCCATAGAGATTTGAAACCTGAAAATGTCCTGCTTGATGCACACATGAATGCAAAGATAGCTGATTTTGGTAAGGATATTTTAATTGTTTCATATGTTCATTACATTTAATGAACATAAGTGGCATCCTTTAGATAACTTCTTTGTAATAAATTGAGTATCCCGAAGTATCCTATTTTGTCAATGATCATAGAAGGAGAAAAGCTAAGGAATTCTCTTTCTTAGCTTTACATCTTTAAAACTGAGTTTTACAATAGTGAGTAAACAATTTTAGTTGACAGTATCAGAGATCCTTTCAAAAGATACTATTATTTGCAAAGGAGAAGGTAGCAACCTTCTTTCCATTATGTTCTTTTGGTAAAGTACGTAGAAAAAGGAAAGTGAGCAGCATAGAATTAATAAAAACTTCGAAAGCCAGAAGGTGAACTGTATGAACAAAATTATATAAAAAAAATAAAAATGTTAAATGATAAAATATTTCAGTTGTTAAAAATGAATTTATTTTATTTCATATATAAGTTGCCATTGACATTAAACCTGAGAAAAATGAATCTGTGAACTTTTTCTTTTGTTCGAAGCCGGAAATTCTTATAAATATTCTCTGCAGTTTTGAATAGCTATAGAAATTCATTGAATAGTGCCACCTAAACCTAAGCTACTGTTTTTTGCTTTTTGCCTTTTTTTGATAATAGACTGAAGTATTTCACTTCGTTATTCCTCATTTATGATTATTTTCATAGAATGTATTTCTGAAGGGGCAAAGGTTTCTTTTGAAGGAAAACTATGAGGAAACTTTGAAATTCAAGGTTATTGTTTATTTTTTAAGAATAACAACATGATTAATAGAAACATTAATTTTAATCCTTTATCTGTTTGATATTATTTTCCTTAGTAATTTCTATTTTAATAAAATTTAAAGATGCCAAAGTTCATTCTAGTAAGCAAAATGACTTTAATATATATTCATTAAACTCCAGCAATGCATAACTTTAAATGTTGAAATATACTACATATTTTTAGGGCAGAATAGTAGGATATTTGGGAACAGCAAAGATAATAGGCAGGATTTTGTTGAAGCAAAGAACAAAATGATGATTTATCACTTTTATGCAAACTCATTTTTATTGTTGGATGGGGTTTTATTTTTATTTTTGTCCTTGGGAAATTTTGAGTAGCTGATTTTGTGCACTTTCAGGTCTTTCAAACATGATGTCAGATGGTGAATTTTTAAGAACAAGTTGTGGCTCACCCAACTATGCTGCACCAGAAGTAATTTCAGGAAGGTAGTATTTGATACCCTCCCACCCCCAATACATTTGTAATTGTCTTTTTCTCCTAGATTTTGGTAGTCAATAGTGTCATATTTAATTCTAGCAAAAAGAAAAAAAATATATAAGGCTGACTCTTTTCTTATTCAGAGGTATTTTAAGAATAAAGATTTGTAAGTGAGTGTTAAGAACTCCATGTCTAGAGAAGAATGTCGATTTGCAAGTCAACATTATATTAAAGTAGTTAGAAAAGAGTACTTTATTTTTTTCCCCCTTGGTGGAAGAAATTGAAGGTTTAAAGTAGCAAGTTTTAAACATAGGTAAGACACTGAAAACTTGAATAAGACAGAAATGCTAGTAGTCAGAAATGGTTTAGTAGTTACTTAGAAGAATTAAAAGTGTAATGGTAGCTTTAATTTTTTTTAAAGATTACTTATTTAATTTTGTTTATCATTATTATTAAATTTGCTGTAGGGCATATACACTCACTGAAGAGAGAGAGAGGTGGCAGGGAGGAGTGAGAAAGCAAGGCAAGGCACCAGGTCTGGGACTCAAACCATGTTCAGCCATGTGGCCATGTGGGGAGTCTAGCACCTTAACCACTATACCACCTGCTAGCTCCTACAGAGTTAATTTTTAAATAGTTGGCATTTTTGTAGTAGTTTTTTATCTGGGAGAATTGAATTTAGGTATTGATAAAATCTTGCGACTTCATTTATGTTGGATCTTCATTCATTATTTTAGAGACTGCATTATATGAATTTTTAGCTCAAAATACTAACCACCAGCATTGAGAACATTAAGATATTTGTACAGTATAGCTTTTGGATTGGTTTAGAAAACAGGAAAACTGGGCCTGCAGATGGTCTAGTGGTTAGGGCGCTGGACTCCCACAGGCTGACCATGGTTCGAGTCCCAGACCTGGCAGCTTGCTTTCTTGCTTTCTTACTTTCTCTCTCCCCTCCTCTCTCTCTGGTCAAATTTAAATAAATAAATAAATAAATACAGATAAAATAATTATTAAAAAACAAAAAGAAAACACAGAATTAATTTTTTTAAGGGTAATTCTTTGCTTTTTACTACTACTACTGAAATTGAAAACAGAGAAGCTTGTGTGGTTACTAACTTTTATAATGAACTTTTAATATCGTATCATCTAAACCATGTAGCTTTGTTTGAATGTTTCACATCTTGATAAAGTCAAAACGTAGAAATAGTATAGTACTTTTTTTCTGTTTTAATAAATTTGTCTAGATTGCCCAAGAAGTTATATTTGCATAAAGGCATAGATATGAATAAGGTGGGAGTTTCAGATTTTGGATTTGTCAAGTTCATCATTATACTTGTATATTAATGACCACAATTTTTAAATTATTATTTCATTTCTATTATCTGTCCTAATTTGTTTGGAAAGAAAATTCAGGAGCTAATGGTGGGATAGTGGTAATGAAATATATAAAAAGAAATTGTTATATATAATTATGCAAATATACAATGTAATGTTACTGAAATCTGATTTTCTATTTGGATAAAATCTTTCTCTAAGGTCTGGCTAAATGGGAACTTTCACTTTCAAAAAAATATTTACTGACAAGTTCAACAGTTTATTTTACAAATTTAAAGAAATCCTTTTCCTGAAGCAGGACTCAAATGAGTGATCCAACTAGTTTGCATTTAGGCATTGAGGCATTTGGCTACAGTGTATTGCAAATGAGAGTTCAAAATCTCTGAACCAGTTACCTTGGCTTTCCACAACCTCCAGCTCTTTTATCTTGGGTTGTTACAGAGAGTGGCTTCAGAATTTATCACTGAAGAACATTTTTAATTGATGGCAGGTCATTTAATCTCTCTGTAGCCAAAAACAATAATTTTACATTCAATAGTGATTATGTTTGTCGAGGCTTGATTCTATCGGTTGGATACTTGAGAGCCATAAAAGGTAGTCAGAAACAGAATTTTACCCATGGTCTGTAACTTACAAAACGTACAGACTTTTGTTTTCAAAGATAATACTGATTAAGGCTCTGGATCTCCGACTCCACAGTGTGAATACTAGACACAGCATGCCTGGTGTGTGTGTGTGTGCATGCCAAAAATCCCGAAAGGAGACTGGAGAAGGGATTGTGGTATGGTTCAACAGTTTGTTTTACAATTTAAAAAAAAATCTTTTTCTGAAGCAAGAGGGGCACATATCCTCTGGCAAACATATGTACCCTATAACAAAATAAAATAAAATAATATTGATAGAATTGAGTTCATTCTGTGTAGTATGCAGCAGTTGTGGCCATAAAAACCATATTCTAATATTTTGTGAAACATCCATATTTGGAAATTTTGATTAATTGATTGAGTCTTAGGTTACTAATGATGGTTTAATCCGATTGGTGTTTCCTGTTACAGATTGTATGCAGGCCCAGAGGTAGATATATGGAGCAGTGGGGTTATTCTGTATGCTTTGTTATGTGGAACACTTCCATTTGATGAAGATCACGTGCCAACGCTTTTTAAGAAGATATGTGACGGGATCTTTTATACCCCTCAGTATTTAAATCCATCTGTGATTAGCCTTTTGAAACATATGCTGCAGGTGGATCCCATGAAGAGGGCCACAATCAAAGATATCAGGTAAGAAGACGGTGTGGAAATGATCATATCTCATAGTATCCATAGTATAAACAAAGAAGTTATAGAACAGATTAATTCTGTTTTATATGAAAAAAATAGTGTACAACCATACTTATTTAATTTTCGTATTAAAAAATAAACACTAAGGCTGTAGCACACTATAGCCTGCTGATTGGGGCAGCTGAATCCCATGTGGCTAAGCCCAGGGTTTAAGTTCTGGGCTCAGCAGCTTGAGAGATAAATTGGACATTGTGCATCCAAAATCCCAAAAGGAGTGAAAGACAGAGGGGAAGGGATTGTGATGTGACCATTCCCCATGGGGGAAGGGATGTTTTCTCCTCGCCCTCTCTGTCTCTGGCAAGTGCACATGCCCTCTGGCAAAAAAAGAAAACAAAAGCACTAAAACTGTTTCCCTGGGATAGAAAGATTGGTAGGAGGGAGGGCTTTCAGTTTTTACTTATGATTTTTTAAATAATTATTTTATTTAACTTTATTTATTTTAATTTGACCAGAGAGGGACAGAGTGAGAGAGACAGAGCGGGAAAGTGAAAAAGCAAGCCATCAGGTCTGGGACTTGAACCATAGTTGGCCATGTGGGAGTCCAGCACCTTTAACCACCATGCCACCTGCTGGTCCCCCATACTTATCTTTCTTTATTTTGAAATTATTAATGATGAACATTACCTTTATTTATTTATTTATTTTTGCCAAAGTGCCTTAGAGCATGTGTACTTGCTGGAGACAGAAAGAGGAAAATGGGGTGTGACTATGCCACAGTCCCTTCTCCATTTGTCCACACTGTCAGATTTTGGGGAATGCACACACGTGTGCCTAGCATGTTTTGATTATCATGCTTGGCATGTATATGTGGGTGCCCAATATCCCAAGAGGAGAATAGAGGAGAAGGGATTTGAGTTGTGGTCATCTCCTCTGGGGGCGTGATTTCTCACATCCTTCTCCCTAGCGAGCACAAGCGTTTTATGGCAAAAAAAATTTAAAAAGCCCAAAACTGAAATTTACTCAAGTGTGAGCAAGTCATTTTTAAAAATAATTATTTTATTTAACTTTATTTATGTATTTATTTTAATTTGAACAAAGAGGGACAGAGTGAGAGAGAGAGAGAAAG